ATGTATTAATTGGCTTGTTCATACCAAGTTTCTGTTAGAGAATGATTCCGGATGGATAATTGTTCCCCCATCTTGAGAGGATTCTGAGTTTTGCATAGGTATGGAGTGAGGGCTGGACAATCCACTTATAAAAGGTTTAGTTCAGCTGGTTTTTATTGTTCATGACAAAAATAATTGGATCGCAAAGTTTCCAGGACTTCTGGGAATTACGAAAGATGACTTTCCTACAAAAGATGGGCGGTATGTAGTTGTCATTATCCGTAGCTCATCCTTGATCTGGATTAAGTTGACACAGGGTATCTGTGACATGATAAGCCAGAGGGGTGCAATCGCCTACTTGAAATACTTTCTCAACCAGAATGGCTCTGCTCATCACTGCAGGGGATGCATGGGAATACTTAACTGTTGGGATGCCACTATATCTGAGTTCTGCTGGACAGCTGAGAGTGCCATCTGGCATACGCAGGACAACTGCTTGAGCTGGTCTAACAAATGAACTTTCATGCCAGGAGTTATTGGGGCTGTGATGACTGAGCTGCAGCATGAGCAGAAAGTTTAAGGAGGACTTGTGGAGAAACACAGCCCAGGAGAAACAAACCTGTGCTACCAACCGCATACAAATGGAGTCAATGGTGCCACATCCCAAACCCACTGCCATCAAGTTGGTCCCAACTCATAGTGATCCTGTGTAGGTTTTCCAAGGCTGTAAATCTTCACAGGAACAAATAGCCTCATTTTTCTCCTGAGGAGGGACTGGTGGGTTTGAACTGCCTATCTTGCAGTTGGCAGTCTAACACCAAAGCGTTAATGAAACTCCTTGATAAACTCCAAGAGAAATAAACATGGGCTACCAACCGCATACAAATAATTGCAATAGCAGAACAAACGTCCACCAAAAAGGGCACAAAGGAGGATAGGATGACTACTAACCATTAAAGGACAAATATGACTAGGATGCTACTGATAAAAAGGCATGTTATCTCAACACCCACAGGTAAACTATCATTAGCAGCAAGGGCTTAATAGAACATAAGGTGGGAACCATTATAAAAATGAAGTGAAAACTCAGAACAGGAGAGCTAATATAAATCCTAATTCCAGAGAGTTCATAAGGATTTTAACTATGTCTAAAAGTTGTAAGCGCCTAGATTTGAGTTTACCAGGGGGAACAACATGATATCAAAATCAGGAATAATATTATAGCTGAAGTCTAGTGGCAACAGAGAAAAGGACCAGGGTAACAAGAGAGCAAATCTCTCCTACCTCTGCAGTCAGACCTGACATCCCAGGAGCACCAGTGTACGGACCCAAAGGTATCTCAAAAGCAAAGGGAATTAAGCAGAGAACCATTAATTCTAAGCTTTCGTACATGTTATAAATTTGAACTACACAAAAATGAGTATAATTGTCAAAAGATGGCACCATGGATGCATTAAATCATTAACAGCATCAGAATAATCACAATGGAAAATTATGTTTCTGGTGACTAAGGAAAACTTTAAAAAAGTTACAATTCTTGTTTACCAACGTATTTCAAAAGTCCCTAGATGATAAAATATAGCTGTTACCAAAGCTAAAACGGTCCAAGTTTGACTGCAGCCTGCATAGGCAGTCTCAAGTTAGTTTCAGAGAGACCTTGGGAAGAAGTTGTCTACTTAGATGTTGTCTTCTTATCCTCCTCAAGTTCACTACCATTGAGGCATTTCCCACTCAGGGTGACAATATAGGACAGAGTAGAACTTCACCCTGGGGTTTCTGAGACTTTCAATTTTCACAGGAATAGACAGCCTCATCTTTCTCCCCCAGAGCAGCTGGTGGGCTTGAACTGCTAACCTTGTGGTTAGCTATGTCACCTTTCTCTTCTTTTACAGCAGGTGTCCTCAAACTACGGCCCATGGGCCACATGTGGCCCCCCGAGGAATTTATCTGGCTCATCGGGTGTTTTTGCCCATTTTGTTTTTTACTTCAAAATAAGATATGTGCAGTGTGCATAGGAATTTGTTCATAGTTGTTTTTTTTTTTAAACTATAGTCAGGCCCTCCAAGAGTCTGAGGGACAGTGAACTGGCCCCCTATTTAAAGAGTTTGAGGACCACTGTTTTACAGCATTGGAATTTCATTGTTGTGGGGAAATTATTATTAATTTCTGTTTTACCAAAGTGGAAAGTGAGGTTACACAAGTAAATGACAGAGCTGGGGCTCCACCCCCAGCTTCTGAAAGCAGACCCCTTCCACTTGAAATGGTGCCGGAAGTTGTATTCCCCAGCAGCCGATCCTGAGATAATGATTTGGGTACCTCCAGATATATCCATGGAGAGCTCCCAAGGAAAGAAGTCGGTAAGGATGTGCCAGACAGAGAAGCAGAGGAAGGCAGGTAAAGCTGTGATCGCAGGGACAAGTTCTGCAGAGGGTTGCTTTACGCTGCAGGGGAACTCAGGAATAGGAGTTGTCTTGCCTCAAAGTCAGGAGCGAGGCTACCATGTATTGCAGGCCAAGCAACTCCGGTGGTCTGGGGTTGCAGGATGGTCCTCCAGAGAGAACTGGAAGACACGGTGACAAAGAATTCAAGGGAGCCCAGAAAGAGCTCTGAACTTGCTGGCTGCAGCAGGGGATCTCATTTGATTCAGACAACCATCCTGTGACAGTCGGAGACTCAGGTATAAAGAGCTCAGTGCCGCAGAGAAGAGAACGGAATCTCAAAGAGGTGCCTGGGCAGCGTTCACAGGGCTAAGCAATAAAGCTGAGATGAGAAATATGGCGTACGGGATGTAGCCCAGATTTCTGACTGTTTTGTTGCCGGTACACCCCAGCAAGGAGGTTTCCTTGTCCTGAGGCTGGAGGCTGGCTGATCACTGACTGAGGAGGGCGCAGTCTTTGTCTCAGCGTGCTGCTTTGTTTACAGGGGTGTTTTTCTTCTGAGTGAGCTTCCAAGATTTGCCCAAATGGATTTCGAGGTTGGAGGTATCAGTAGAGCAGGACAGAACCTGAGGAGGTGATGTGTTAGAGGAAACATAAGGCACAGGGGATGGCACACCTCTAATCACAATGTCATCCAAGGGTCATGCCTGAGTAATGTTGACGATAGCTTCCCTGGCATGGCTCACCCTTTCTGCCCACTGTCCGGCTTTGGGTCTCAGCATCTTGAGTGAAAGTGCACTGATCCTGTCCCCTGTCCCCTTCCACCCCTTCTCTTACAGCCTGCAGAGAAGCAGCCCTGGCAGACATTGTGTTTTTAGTGGACAGCTCAACCAGCATTGGGCCCCAGAATTTCCAGAAAGTGAAGAATTTCCTTAGCTCTGTGGTTTTGGGGCTTAACATCAGCAGCGACCAGGTCAGGGTGGCACTTGTCCAGTATAATGACAACATCTACCCGGCCTTTCAGTTGAACCAGTACCCTCTGAAGAGCATGGTCCTGGAGCAGATCCGGAATCTGCCCTACCGCACAGGGGGCACCAATACAGGGAGTGCCCTGGACTACATCAGGACCAACTATTTGACTGAGGCAGCTGGCAGCAGGGCCCAGGACAGTGTTCCTCAGATAGTTATCCTGGTGACGGATGGGGAGTCCAACGATGAAGTCCAGGAGATGGCTGAGAGGCTGAAAGACGATGGGGTTGCTTTGTACGTGGTAGGGATCAACGTCCAAGATGTGAAGGAGCTTCAGAAAATAGCCAGCAAACCATTTGAGAAGTTTCTCTTCAGCACTGAGAACTTCAACCTCCTGCAGGAACTCTCGGGAAACATCCTTCGGACTCTGTGCTTGGCCGTGGAGGATAAGATTAAAGGTAAGAGCTGTGATGTGATGAAACCCACCGTCCCCACCACGTTCCCCCCATCTCTTCCTTTACACTGACTTTCATGTCATTTACATCGATTTCTCAAGCTCACCACCATGACCACGACCAATGGAAAACAATACACGTTGACGTTGGATTTTGTGTGGTTTTCTATATATGAAGGCCTGGATAGGTAGAGCTATAGAGAGAGTACCTGGATGGATAACCACCGAGGGGTGTTGGGCAGGAGGAGGAGGTGGGGAAATGGAGAGCTGATGACAATGAGTGTAAGAAAACAATATTTTTGAAATTGATAGTGGTGCTGATTGATGCCCAAATTTTAATTTAAGTGAACAATGAAATCGTATGACATGTGAAGTATAGCCCAAGAGGACTATAATAAAAAACATAGTACACATTCAAAAGGTGTACCTCAAACAGTTACGAGCACAGGAAGATGATGGATGTACGGTGGAGAATTAGTAGCGTTCTCAAACAGCAGTTTTAGTGATAACAAATTCACTAATGGCAAGGGTGGGTATTTGAAGCTTCCACCAAATAGTAATCATAATACAGTGAACCCTCGTTTATCGCGGTTAATCGGTTCTAGACCCTACCATGATAAATGAAATTCCGCGAAGTAGGATTCCTTATTTGTAAATCAAATATTTTCGTAGTTAGAGCATAGAGGACATGAAAAAACACCCTTTAGTCACCATTACACTCGTATTACCCAATTTATTAAACGAAAAAGGGAAAATACAGTAAAACATTTTGGACGTTACAATGATCATTTATTATTTATTATATTATTTATGGCATCAAGCGTGTACAGTATGAGCCAATCAGTGGCAGTAATGACAGAGCATGCGCTGTTACACAAAAACCGCGATAGAGTGAAGCCGCGGAAGTCGAAGCGCGAAGTGGTGAGGGTTCACTGTACTAAGAAAATAAGAACTTTTTTAATTAAAAAAATTACAACCACAAAAAAGAAGGTAACTGTTGGTCCGGAGTTTGATTACCCCTGTTCTGCATCATCCCCCTCTCTGTTTTATATGGCAGGGTGGTGCCCCTGGGGGCGGTGTGTTTCAGGCATCTATGCGAGATGGTTTCAGACAGTAAGAATCACTAGCAGGGTGGAAAGAAGGGAGAAATCAAGGTCCTTCTCCCTCACATCTGCCTCTGGCCATCTCTGGTGGCCCCGCCTTCTGCTAGACATGCCAGCCTAGCGCTCACTTCTGGTTGCTTTTGCCGGAGCCTCAGTTACATCACTGTGCTCGTGTTCCTCCCGCCTGGATGATCATTGATTTTTTAATTCTTCTTATCATTAATCCTCCCTTGTCTCTTTTGTTTGGCTTCTTGCCTTTTTCAATCGCAGCATAACCAATTCCCTCCATTAAATTTTCCCGTTATGAAATGCATTCTGTTCTTCCTGGTAGAACTATGAGTGATTTAGAAACCATCGAAGTCACCATGGTAAAACACTAAGGTTAAACATTCTAGCCAGATATTTCCTTCCACCGAAGGCCGTGCCTTTCGGATTTGAAAGGAGATTAGCAAATGATTACTGCCAGTTGGTGTGGGTTGGCTTTAATTCATGGCAACCTTGGGTACAACGGGACAAAAGATTGCCCGGTCCTCTACCCTCTTCCCAGGCATTGGTATGCGGGCGCCAATGCTGGGGCCACTGTGTCGATCCAGTTCATGGACTGTATCCCTCATTTTCATGTAGCCTCCACTCTTCCACACAGGAGGTCTTTGTCAAACTTTTGGTCTTTCATAATGACCTGTAAGCCAGCCAACAAATGGATAGGGAGATGTCAGAGACATTCTAAAATCAAACCAGATGTTTCCCTAGGTTTTATTTAAATGGTGTGTGTGTGTGTGGGGGGGGCAGGAACAGAAAAGGTAACAACTTTCTGACCGTGTGAATGGTCAATGTCAATGTCATGCCACCTGCCATGTAAAGCCATTTCCTCTGCTACCAACGGCCCGTACTTGGGGAAACGCTGACTTTCCTTCAGTCTGTCTGTGGTGGCTTCAACAGGAGCATTCTGAGAATGACTGATGTGTCCCTGCAGGGCGAACAGGCATGCGCTCCATGCAGAGCGTGAGGAGGAGAGACTGGGTTTTCCTGACCGTCTGCCCGTGTGCTGGAAACCATCCGTTGAGTTCCTCAGACATTTATTGTACACTTATTGTTTATTAGGCCTTGAGCTAAGCCATAGGGAGGGAAACAAGCACAAACAATAAGACAACTCAGAAACAGGGGAGACAGCAAGATAGGAGTTTTTCCTGGAATCAATGCACGTGGAATCTTTCATTTATCATGGGATATGCTGTGACCCGAGTAAGGTTCTAAGTGCTAAGCAATCCCATGCCCTTCCAAGGACCCTAGTTATATTTTCATTTTCCCGTAGACTAGTTGAACAAGAGCAGCACGTGGTTATCTTGATAAATAGTCTAGGCTTGACTGTTGCTACTCTGTTTTGCTAGGTGTAAAAAAATCTCTCTTTTGTGGTAGGTACTTACAGGTATGTGTTGAAAGTCTACACTGACTTCCCTTAGTTGTGTTTTACATCTTGGTGAAGAAAGTTTGCCCCTCCCCACCCTCTCACAATACATTTGAAATCAGATGAAACCCTGGTACCAGGATACGCAACACCTCGTTACAAATCAGTGACTTCAATTTTGAGCCCATTAGTGTGGAACAAGAAGCTGTTTTATATTTTAGAGCACTTCAAAGCAAGCCACTCCATCAGCGCTCCCATATCACTGATTTAGAGTGATAGTAACTCCATGATTCCTATAGCTTGGGTCAATAAGTCAACTGCGCTGGATGCTACTGATGAAGTAAGCAACATTCCAACGTTGTAAATTGAGCATGTAGTGTGGGCTTAAGTGCCTTCTTCCATTATATTAGTCAGTGTCTTTGCTTCATTCTGTAATGTACCTGCTCACCACTTAGTCCTTGAATTCAATAAACATGAACATGGTGCCATGTAGGATGGAGCAGGGGAGGCAAGGTGAATACAGGGCCTGGGATTCGGGAAGAGCTCACAGGCCCACACCATTAGCTACAGGACAATCGGAATAAACTGGGTTTCATGGGATGGTGGACGGAGCTGTCTCACCATCACTGGGGAAACTTCCTAGAAGGGGGGTAGGCAACTGAACCAGGGCTTGAAGGATGGAGAGAGTTCTCACAGGTAGGAAAGAAAGGAAAGAACACCCTGCAGAGTGGTCCAGAGGAAACAGCACAGGTGTCAGAGTTCAGCAGACCTGGATACCTCCCCACCCCCAGTTTTACTGGTATAATCTACCTACCATACAATTCAATAGTTCAATCACATTAAGAGGAAGCAGACTTGGATTTAAAATAACTTTTCCACTTTCTAGCTGTGTACTGTGGAAAAGCTGATTCCCTTCTTTCGACCTCATTTTTCTTATGTGCACAATGAAGATAATACTATTTTCTGTGTAGGGTGATTTATAAATCAGATAAAAAATATAAACAGCTGTAACACAAAATCACTGCCCAGTAAATGTTTAATTCATCCCCCCTCTTATTTTGGTTGGAGATCCTTCGGTTTAATAAAAATATAAAAAGCAGTAGAATATAAATATGGAGAGAGCCTCATAATTCAGACCTGACACACTGAGTAGATGGAATTTCAGTACGCACTGAAAATCAAACTCACTGCCATTATATAGATTCTGACTTACAGCGACCCCACAGGACAGGGTAGAACTGCCACTATGGGATTTGGGAGTTCTACAGGTATCATAACATTCCACAGTTCAATCACATCAAGCAGTATTGGACAATTGCTACCACAATCAGTTTCAAAACATTTTCTTTCTTCTAGAACTCCTTGATATCAGCTCCTCTCCCTCCCTCTCCCCACCAGGAATCCTTATATTATATTATAGTTGTTTATTTAGTCTCATCTTATACAGCCAATATATCTATTTACATACAATGCTGTTGTTCGATCCCCTCGAGTGGGGCTGTACAGTCATTAATGCTATCAGCTCCTCGTTCCCCACCCTTACTTCCTGTACCCTCAGGGAACCATTACTCTTGTTACTGTTTCTGAAGGGTTATCTATCTTGGCTTTCATGTATTGAATTATCTTAATTATACAAATGAACATACCCAAATCTAACATGATTAATGAGGTAAAACAAATAAAAAACATAATAGTAAGGAGAGGAAATACTAAAGAACTAGAGGATAGTTATGTGTTTCATCAGTGCTGTAGTTCACCCTGGATTTATCATCCCTTCTTATGGCCCTTCTGAGAGGGACTGGGTCTTGGGTTTCTACTATATGCCCAACCCTTCACATTGATTTGGTGGCTTGTTTTTGAACTTCTGAAACCTTTTTCCTATCAACAACTCATGATCACACAGGCTGGTGTGCTTCCTCCATATGGGCTTTGTTGCTTCCCTGCTAGGTGGCTGCTTGTTTGACCACAAGCCTTTAAGACCCCAGATGCTATATGTTTTAATAGCTGGACACCATCAGCTTTCTTCACCACATTTGCTTATGCACCCATCTTATCTTCAGCGATCATGTCAGGAAGGTATCATACAATGCCACATTTTTGGAACAAACCATTCTTGTACTGAGGTAAGGTTTAACTAGAGGCCCAAAGTCCATCTGCTTCCTTGTTGCATTTACATCCACATATAAACAAATATACATATATTTAAATATTTATATGTTTACATATATATTCCCCTTTCTTCTTCTTCCCTCTTCTTCTTTCTGTCCTCTAGTAAGGCTGTAAATCTGTAAGGGAGCAGAAGGCTTCGTCCTTTTCTCTTTCTCCCACAGAGCAGCTCGTGGTTCCAAACTGCTGACCTTGTGGTTAACAATCCACTTATAACCCACTATGCCACAGGGGCTCCTTTGATACACAGAGTGTTGTATAATTGAAGTCCCCTAACTCAGCTTCCCATATGCAAAATGCCCTTGCAGGGGGGCTTCAAAGAATTTATGGAAAAATCACATGGTCTTTTAGTCCTACTTTCCCCCAAGCTTCTTTGGGAAGCCTCCTGACAGCCCATTTCTCTTGTTGCTGTTGTGACGGTGAACATAACACATACCCACACATTCACCTACACAATGTCTGCATTTACCCTTCAGTGGCATTGACTTTCACATGGTGCCCGATTACCGTATTCAGTTTTCACGAGAGCTGAACTTCCCGTCCCTTCTGTGTGTTTTCCTTCCCATCCGTCTTCTGTTTCAGAGTTCACCAAGACGTACGCCGATGTGGTCTTTCTTGCGGACACCTCTCAGGGCACATCATGGGCCAGTTTCCAGCAGATGAGGAATTTCATCTCCAGAGTGGCGGGCATGCTAGAGGTTGGCAGAGACAAGTACCAGATCGGGCTGGCTCAGTACGGTGCTGAAGGTCACACGGAATTTTTGTTCAATACCTACCAGACGCAGAGCGAGGTGATTGCTCATGTTCAGGGGCAGTTCAGGCTCCGGGGCGGCTCTAGGAGGACAGGCAAAGCCTTGCAGTACATTCGTCAGACCTTCTTCCGGGAAGAAGCAGGGAGCCGTTTTCTCCAGGGTGTTCCCCAGTATGCCGTGGTCATCACTTCGGGCAAGTCCGAGGATGAGATCTGGGAGGCCACACAGACACTAAGGGAGAAAGGTGTGCAAGTCATCGCCATGGGCATGCAGAACGTCGACAGGAAGGAGCTGGTGGGCTTGGGGACACCATCTCTTGTGTATGAGACCCAAGGAGAAGATGGAGTGAGGCAGATGCTGCAGGATTTGCATGTGGTGATCCAAGAGACTGGGCAGCCGGAGGTCAGGACCCAGGCCATCCAGGAGGACGCAGTAGGTAAGCTTGGGTCCCTAGGATGTGAGACTCTCTGGGTTATCTCAGCACTAGAAGATCAGACAAGGGGGCATTCTGGATTCCTAAATACTGGGGTACTGCACTGGTGGACGGGGGAGTGGAACACGTATGGGGCTGCCTTGGGCATACACCTTGAATTAGTTAACGATGAATGCATCGGTGCTGTATAACAAACCACTCTAAAATTTAGTGCTGAACAGGAAAATTTATTCTCACTGGTCTGCTGAGGATCAGCCCATCTTGTCTGGGCTCAGATGAATGGCTTTGATGCTCTTTGATTGAGTTCATTTACACATTTGCCAGCTGGGCTGGGCTGGGGGTCGGGGTGGGGGTAACTGATCCAGGGCACCCTCTTTCTCTGATAATGGTCAGACACTTTCCAGACCTCTGCTGCATTGTGTCTGATAATATCTTTATGCGGAGAATAAAGTACCCTCCTCCTGTAAAACTGAGAGGTAGGGAGTGATTGTCTGACAAATACTCCAAGATACCAGATACCTCTTCTGGTACATCTTCGAGCCTCCTGAGAGATGGAATAAAGTCCTTGGTTTGGCATTCCCGATGCTCCAGGCAGATGCCATGAACAATTTGTGATTAAGGATTTTCCTGCATATTATAGAAGGTTTAGTGTCCCCGGTCCCTGCCAGAATATTTCCTTGCCATTGTGGCAATCCAGTTCTCCCATTCCCCCTGTGCCCCCCGGACCCCTCCCCTGCCATATCCCCTGGGGATGGGCCCATTGTTTGTGGTGAACAACCAAACCGTATGTCACAGAAAACCCTTGTGCACATTCTACCCTGCAGCCCCACTGAACCACTCGCCGTTAGCTGTACTGTGTCCGGTCTCCTACTTCTGTCTCTACCTTTGAGCATATTGCATCAGCCAGGAAGACCTAGAGTCAAAACCTTGTCCTCCAGTTCCCAAATTACCTTCTTGGTGCAGCCTGTGCCTTGACACCCCTAACTGGAAATGATCATCTTCTCTTTTCTGATGGTCACCATTCTGTTCAGACCTCTAACATCCAAAGCTTGGGGAGAGGGGTCTTTGACACGGTTATGGGCAGCCATGACAAGCACCGTTGAGACAAGAAGACTCAAACCCAGGCAGGGGTGATAAGGAACTAAGCTGCCCGATAAGGATACTCCTTCCATTAAGAGGAACTAGAACAAAAGGGGGCCTCCTGGAGAAGGTGACATGGGAGCAGTGGGCTGGTCCTTTCATAAGGAGTGTGGTTTTTACAGACAGGGAGAAATGAGGAGGAGCGCATGCCTGGCCAGGGAACTGTGTGACTCAGTGTGGGGGACGGAGAATGAACTGTGTGAGTGCAGAGGAACATGAAACACGCAGCCCCTTGCGATGGGGTGGGAGAGGGTTTAGAAGCAGTGAGTTTGGATTAGCTAGAGGAGATGCCGTTTAGGGGAAGTCATCGTGGGCTTTGGAGCAGCACAAATAACACGGCCCAAATAATCCTTAAGAAAGTGTTTGGTGGTCAGGACAGATCCCAGATAAGACCTCAGGCTCAGAGGATTTAAGGGCACACACGGAAGGCTCTCTGGTCCTGCCCAATGGAGGCTGAAGTAATGAGAGGTGACGAACCCAGAGACAAGCGAAAAGGCGAATTACAGCATCACTTGGTGCCAGCAACTGAAGCCAGGGAGAAATCAAAGATGGGGTTTCTAGACACGGTGTTGCAGACTTGCCTACATTTGGGGTACCCTCCTCCTTTTTACCCACGGCCTAATTTCTTCCTGTAAAAGAGGAACAAGGGGAATATTTCAGGACATCTGGAGTCCTAGAGATCAGGGAGAAGCACACTGTATTCACCTGCCCCTTGGGTCTCTTTTCTAAACTCTGTTTGCACACAAGGATGCACCTCAATGCCGGTGTGGTTTTGGCTCTCTGCTTGGGAGATTTTTTTGTTTTTTTAAGTCTAAGCAAATCTTGATCTTTTTGGTTTTCAGATATAGTAGATTCCCCACATTAGGCACTGCGTCAGAAGTGGAGACATGGAGGTAGCGGCTCTGAATTTCTCTGGGAAGGGAGTTTATTTAGCCTTAACTCCACGAGTCTATTTTAAGCAGGTTAAAGAGAAAGTTCTTTTATAGCAAAATGGAACAACCAGCTAGTCCAATTTTGGACAAAGGTTTCTCACAGGAACTTGCAACATTCTATGGTCCCCTAGCTGATGGGACACAGAATTTATCTGAGAAAGGTGCCCATGCTCATCGCCACAATCTGTCACTTCATCTTTTGCCAAGAGAAGGGGGGATCTATCAAATCAGTGGCGAGTGTAATGACGTTTGTGGCCAATGAGCTTGATCCAGGGTCTCCTGCACCTAGAAAAATGGAGTCAAGACACAGGTGCTTTCAGTGAATGGAGATAAACTGGAAAGTGACCTTAAAGTAATTTCTTATGGATATTCTATTAATTATCTATTTCACAAGTGCTGAGAAAACTTTCAGGAGAAAACTTCTGAAGCTGGTATAAACTCTGTGATGTTCCTCAGCCAGCATGCCAACCCAAGTTTTTCTCTCAACTCTAAAATGTGTGCATAATAGTTAGCATGATATATGATTTCATAATTTATGGCCCTAAGTATCTTATGATAACATATAGAAATATGTCACCACACAGATTTTATAGCTAAAGGAAGAATTATGTGTATTACTATCTTGTCATGCTAAAGTTTTTTCTGTTTTTGTTTTTGTTTTGCTTATTAGCATGTCCAATGGCTATTCCAACTGATGTGGTATTCCTGATTGAGGAATTTGGCAGAGGTAGTCAATCAAATTTCCAGCAGGTTGTCAAGTTCCTAAAGTCCATGGTCAGAGCTCTAAGAATCCACCCTGATGTTGTGAGAATCGGCTTGGTCTTTTATAGTAAGGAGCCGAGACTTGAATTTTCGCTGGACACATTTCAGAATACAGCCCAAATCTTGGAGCATTTGGATAAATTAACCCCCCGAGGAAGAGGAGGAAGGCTCAAGACTGGCACTGCGTTGGATTTCCTAAGGAACGAGGTTTTCATTCAGGAGAAGGGCAGCCGGCCCAACCAAGGGGTACAGCAGGTAGCTGTGGTCATCACAGAAAGTGTCTCACAAGATAACGTGTCCCGACCAGCTTCTCTCCTCCGTCGGGCGGGGGTGACCATCTACGCAGTGGGCACCCAGCTTGCCTCGGAGAGCCAGGGCCTGGAGAAATTGGCATCGTATCCTCCTTGGCAGCATGCGGTCCCCCTGGAATCTTTCCTGCAACTCTCCATCGTGAGGAACAAGATTAAGAACCATCTCTGCACTGATGCTGTGGGCGAAATGGGCTTCGATCTTCGGGTGAGCTCTACCCCACAAACAGGTAAGAGTGGCCTTTCCTCACCTGATCTTTTCGTGCCAAGACTTGGTTCTGTTTGTGCCATCGGCCTACTTCCTCCACGCCCCTCTGAGGGCAGGTTGGTGCTTTCACGGATTACAGCTTACGCAGTCTGTATTTTGTTTGAATTCTCAACAATTCAGAAGCATATATCACGTCAAAGTAAACACCCCTCCTGCCTGACCCCTTGCTCCCCGCGAGAGTCAGATGAAGAGATGTGTGTGTTGAGCGAGGAAGCCTTGTGTGATACCGAGTGGAGATTGAACAGATTGGGAAGCGACTGAAGGGAGGCAGTGAGGCAGTGATTCTTTTTGAAAAGACACCAGTGCACTTGAAAGTTGAAAAATCTAACTTAAAAAGTACGCTGGCTGATAAGACATAAAAACATTCGCTGGTTGATCTTTCGGGGGAGGAGCCAGGCTTTTTTGAGCGGGAGCTCTGCGCATTTTCCTGAGCCTCCACCACCCGTTGCCTTTCCTCTCATCACGGCTTTCGCATCTCTCAAGGGAGACGAGACCTTACCCACCTTTGAAATAATCTGAGTCGAGAAGCCCTGAATGATTTGTATACCTCCCCCACCCAATTCAATATTTGTAGCACTGTCTAGTAACCCAGCAACTTAAAAAACAAACAAACAAGCAACAAGCCCTCATTGTATCTTTTCTAAAAAGTTAACCCACACGTTCGTAAATGCCATGGGCTTCATTTACTCTTGGACTCATTGATTTGTACAATATTTGATGAATTATGTAATTCTGATGACACAGGTTGGGGATGGGATCAACCCAATTGGCTCTTGGCAAATGTGTCTTCTTCTGAATGACACACAACCAAGTGAATGGCGTTCCCATGAGCTACAGTCAGCGGGCGTGGTCCGGGTCTTGTGGGAGAAGCCCTCAGTAGGTCTGACAGAGGGGAGGCAGGGTCAGAGCACACGCAGGCATCGTCACAGGGGCTTTCATTAGAAAGCGGTTGTGGGGTCTGGAGGGCAGTGCCGAGAAGACATGGGGGGTGTGTGTCGAGAGCCATCATTTTGGGGATCGAGAGCCATCGTTTGGCCTGGCCCTCCATCCGACTCTGTGCTCATGCCTTGGGCTATGGTTTCTTCCTCTTGACCAGGTTGTGTGCATATCGAGAAGGCAGACATCTATTTCCTGATGGATGGTTCTGGCAGCATCACCCAGGACGACTTCCTGGAAATGAAGGTGTTCATGAACGAGGTGATCAGGATGTTCCAGGTGGGGCCTGACAGAGTTCAGTTTGGAGTCGTTCAGTACGCGTACGACACTCAGAGCCAGCTCATTCTTGGCCAGTATGCCAGCGTGGCAGGGCTGAAGACGGCCATTGAGGGCATCCGGCAAATGAGAGGTGGCACCCATACCGGCCAGGCCTTGCATGACATTAAGCAGATCATCGCAGACACTGCCCGTGGCGGTGTGCCACGCTATCTTGTGGTCATCACAGATGGGAGATCTGAGGACCCGGTGGCTGAGGCCGCAGAGGCCTTACGGAGAGACGCTGTCATTATCTACGCCATCGGAGTGCGAGACGCTCACACCGATGAGCTTAGACAAATGGCTGGCGACAAGATCTTTTTTGTGAACGAATTCGATTCCTTAAAGGACATCCAACAAGACGTGGTGCAAGACATCTGCTCCTCAGAAAGTAAGACTCTTTTTCTATTTCGTCATCACGATAAAGACATAGGTAGCAAAGCACTGGCCGGTTCTTTTATCTTAAAATGTGTGATGGAGTGAGAGTAAACAGATTCATCATGGGCAGCATCCATCTTTCCCCATGTCCCCCCATCACCCCTAACAGAAACTCAGCGTCCCTGAAGTTCTGTTCCTTCTGTGTCTCACCCCCCCACCCCCCACCCCACCTGTC